AAGGCCTGATTGAGAGAGAGAGCATGAGAAAAGGAGAAAGAACAACAAAAAAACCCAAGCAACCAAACAACAACGACAACAACAAGACTGTAAGCCTGATTCCAAGGAAAAAATAAAAAGAAAGAAAAAGAAAAAAAGTCTGATCAAAAAAAAAAAAAAAAGAGAGAGAGAGAGAGAAAAGGAAATAAAAAAACAAAAAACAAAAAACAAAAACCTATAAATGTGATTCCGAAGGAAAACAAAACAAAACAAAAACAACAGCCTGGTCCTATTTGCACCAGAACTGAAGGGGACGCTGTGAGGCACTGTATGATCGGTAGACTTGGGGCATGCGGGGTGCTGTCTGTGTTGCTCTTCTGGGGGAGAAGCACCCTGTGCTGGCTCAAAGTCAATCCTGCCCAGATGAAAAACCACTTGCCAAGCACAGGGGGGCAGGGTTTGGTGTAAGCGGCTCCCACCTCTACTTGGGGCTGCTGTGTTGCTCTCTGAGGTCCAATCGTGTGGATAGCAAGGGCAATATGGTGCCACCCCACTCTCTCATCCACCGACAGGGGAAATCTCACACCGCCTCCTGTTCAGAAGCCCTCATCGAAAAGTAAAGGCCTTCAGTGTGCCTGGCGCCACAGCTCTGCTGCGTTTTATCTTTGGTGTGGCTGGGATTAAAAATTCCAAATCTTAAAGGAGCCGGCACCTAGGCCTCCTCTGGGTTAGAGTCTTGCTGGTCTCTGACTAGTGCCCTTTCTCCCACAAAAAGAGTCCCACGCCTGCATGGTGGATGGATTCTATGCTGTGGCACCATGAAAAGCAGTGATTAGGTCATCCACCCTCTGCACACACCTTTGTCCCCTGCCAATGAAAGGCCATTTGTTGGCGCCTGCATGGTCTTGTGTCCTTCGGGAGGCAATATATCCTCTTCCAAATGTATTCCCAATAGGAATGATCTCTCTCCCAGCGCAACCCAGGAGATCCCTGCACCACTTTGTGCGTGCTCTGAACCAGAGCCCTCCTCTCCAGAAGCACAGGCTACAGCTCTGCTCCGGTGAGGTCACACACTTCCAAAACTCGAGTTTTGCAAAAACCTGCGATATTCGGTTCCCATTTCCCCAGTCTGTGGTCCGAGAGGCTTTCATCTTGTGCGAACCCAACGCCACACACTCTCACCCCCGTCCCCCTCTCTCCCTTTTTTCCTGGAGAAAAGGGTTCCTTCCCTCCACGTCTCTGAAGCTTTTGTCTACCCCAATTCACTTCCACAGCACCTTGGACCTGCCACGCTGTCTCCCTCCAAACACAGAGAATCTACTTCCAATCCTCAGATGGATTTCCTGTATGTTCCAAATGATCTGACCTCAATACAGCTGTGTTCGAGGGATGAGGAAAACCCAGGTTCCCCCTACTTCTCCATTTTAACTCTGCCCCCAAGAATTTTTTTTAAAAGATTATTTATTTATTTTAGAGATAGCGAGTGCAGGGGGGTTGGAGCCAGAGAGAGAGGGACAAGTGGACTCCGTGATGAGCACAGAGCCTGAAATGGGGCTGGATCCCATGACCCTGAGATCATGACCTGAGATGAAATCAAGAGTTCGGGGCTTAACCGACTGAGCCACCCAGGCGACCCCATGATTTAATTTTTTTTTTTCCAGGACAAAAATGTTTATTGTGCCTGTGGAAATAGCCACTTGATAAATAATTTTATAGACTCATCTTGTACATCTTTCATTTCCTCTTTTTATACACCTTGATTTTTTTTTACATGCCGTAGAACTGACCTGATTCTATAAAAAACAAATAGAACATGCCAAAGAATAAAGTAACAGATCTTAAGGTAGTTACCTTATTATTTATCTCATATCACTGTATAATTGGTGAGTTAACTCAGAAGGATCTACATGTTTGGATAATAATTGCAATTTTTTTGTTCCTGTTCCTACTTTAGCATTTAGCAGACTCCTTCATGGACATTATTCCATTTGATCCTCAAAAGCATTGTAGGATATAAGAGATTTTCTATCTCTGTTTTAAAGATTAAATTCAGGGAGTTTAAGTGATGTGCACAGGTTATGAAGAAAAGTAAAGTTTTGGCTAAAATTCATTTCATGAAAGATCTTTTTCCATGATTTAATTTTTAAAGGTATTAATCATCTTCTATGAAAACATTCAATAACAGGTTAGGCATCTGTTATAAAAATAAGCTATCAAAGGAAGAAAAGACTCAAAAATAACTACAGAGTGAAACCAATTACTGTGACTTTATTACAATAGTTACAAACAATATTTTAGTGGTAATCATATCACAATTACTAGAACTATATACAAATAGGTATTTTTACAAGACTACATTTTCAAAAAAGAAAAAGCAATTAATGACCAAAAAAAAAAAAAATCACATTATCAACAAGATTTTTTCTAAAAGTTATGGCCAATAGCAAAAATTCACAGTTACTCTGAAAATATTTTAAAGATGCAGGAATCATATTGCACATAATACAATTATAAACCCTACTGAGCAGATTTATATATTTTAATCTAGTTTTTCACAAAATTTACATTATCATGCAATACTTCATTGTATACAGAATGGTGGAACTAGAATAAACAGGTTAACTTACAAACTTTCAATATAATGGCCACAAAATTAGAGTTATTTTAAGTTATACTGAAAATAATTTTACTATACAAAAGAAAAAAAAAACACTCCAGTGTAATAAAACTTAATGGACACAATCATAATTTGTTCACAGATCAAGTTACTTTTTTAGTGTTCTTCTTTGTCTTTTCCTTTCTTTTCCTTTTCATCCTGTAGTGCAGTACCGAGTTTTTTTATAAGTACTGACAGAACCTTGTCAAGTGGGTCCATGACTCCTCTTTGAAGCCATTTAGGAATAGTAGTCCTGGCATGATGGAAGCCCAGTTTTTGAAGAATGTAATCAACACCCACTGGATCAATCTTTCTTCCAGTCCAAGATATTAATCTAAAATTATAAATAATAGGTATTAAGGAATACAGTGCCATAACTCAGTTCTGAAGGTAGGTTCAAGAACATCACTAAGCCTCCATAATATGCTCAAGACAGTCTATTCTCAATAGAATAATCTAAGCTACAATTCCTGGGTTTACTATAACAGCATTTAAAAAATGTGATTATAAGTATCCTTGAGAGCATACACATAGCAGTGGAGTTAAGTGAATTTCATTCTGATTATTTTATTTTAGGTCTGTTAAGTTACAGGGTCATCCTGACATTTAAAAAACATCTGGTTCATTCTAAAAGACATGAACTTGATGGCAGGAATCCTTTTACAATGTGTATATGTATCAAATTATGACACCGTCCACTTAAAATATCTTACATGTTTTATCAATTATACTTCAATAAAGCTGAGAAAAAAAATAAGAGTTCAACATATATGTGACATAATGTGGGGTAAAAAAGGCTAAGATTTCATGAGTGTTTGCTATGTGCTAAACATGTTTGAAGGAAGAACCATTTTCTTCCTATTCCTGGTATTTCCTTCCATATAGAGGAACAGCTATTAGTGAAACACTTCTGGCCTTTCTCTGCTCCTGTATTAATGACTTAATCTGATTGGCAAGTTAACAGAGGAACTGGGTTGTGTAGTTCAGTACCCTCTTCCCTATCTACTCTTAAGAGCTGCTCATTTTGGTCTTTGCTCCATGCAATAGGTTTCTCTAGGACAGGACCCTAAATAAGTTAGCCCCAGAATGTTGATGGCTCTCTGTGGCTAGGTGAGTTCACAGAGCTGCCGAATGCAGAACTCAAGGTGGGGGTGGGCACACAACTCTGGTGTTCTGCATGATGAAGACCCTGTAGGTAAGTCCAAACCTGGACTTCGTGGTTAGAAGGCCATTGTTGCCAGACATCCAAACCATATTCTCTGTGATGAGCTTTATCACTATTAAAACTGTCGTTTTGATTTCCAGCTTCCTCTCTCCCACTGTTTCAATTGCTTCTGAACTTGGGTAGGGAAAAGGCGGTATGAAGCACTGATCTGCTAAGACTCAAACAGTTATAAGCATTTTGCATTAATTAACTCATTTAACTATTGTAACAACCCTACAAGGTAGGTAATACTGTTTACCGAATTTTTCTTATGAGGCAACTAAGGCAGAAATAGGTTAGGTCCTTTGGCCAAGATCATTTAGTTCACTATGCCATCTAGACAACCGGACTTAGAGCTAGAGTTCCTCAACGTGCTCTCCACCACTACACCACATTAACTAGTCTCCTGATGGTATGTTTAAAAAAAAAAAAAAAAAGAAGAAGAAGAAGAATGGCAAATCAAACTTTTTATGCTCATTTGAAATTAAAAGATACTTAATTTCATCATAGATTTACAAATACAAAACAAATTTTCTAAGTAGTTTTCTGCATTAGGATCTTTGCAATATTTTAATTTTGTTCTGAGTATTGACACTGTTAATACTTCTCATGAGTATATGTACTGTTAATTAATGCCAAATTTTATTACATACAAATTATTAACACAAAGTTACTACTTTCTTCTTATACAAGAGTCCACTGTATAATGGATATTTGGTTGCTATGGAATTATTTTGTGGCATAAATGTCTGAAATAATAACCTTATCTAAATGAAATCTGTATTGTTCTGCAGAATGTTGTGTCAGAGTACGATGGACTTTTTTTTGATACTGTTATTCCATGATTCAGACAGTTAAAATCTGATTAACAAAGCAGATGAGAGGAAAGGGGAAAATGACAGGAAGGTTATGAGTGCTAACCATAAACAAGGACAAACAATGCAAGTACCACTAGTTACAGCAGCCATTATAAATGTAATTAAGACTAGAAAATACTTTTGAAATTTTAATATGAAAATAAGTTGATATAACTGGGATCATGATTGTAGTAGAACATGTCTCTGTAAATGAACCTGAATCTGACAGCATTAAATTCAATATTTCAGGGATGGTTCTATATTGCTTAGCATGCAGCCAGACGACCCTGTGACATCATAGGTTCTATTACACGCTGTCGGGACATGTGTGAGAAACTGTATTAATTCCTTAATGATGATGTACGGCCGTTACCGTATCTTCCCAAACTGAGAAACAAAAAGTTTACTGCAGGTCCCTCAAACACCTGAAAAGAATGTCCTGGTAAAAAAGATGGTAAAGAAATTACAGCAACGGTGGAGGTGGAGTCATTCTCATGTTCTAGTGACTGACTGAGAGGATGTCACTCAGTGGAGAGTGCTGAGCTAGTCGCAGTGTTTGTGCTTCTCCTGCCTTGCGCTAGAAGCACTTAAAAGAAAGCAGAAAGGAGCAGAAGAGACAGCCAGAAGTTAGAGATGTTATAAGTAGCCACCTCCTAAAAACTGTTTTTGGTAAACCATACTTAACTTGCTACATTATTTATGACCTTTTCCTCATGATAATGCCGTAGGGTACAGGTAAATACATACACCCACTACTTACCTGAGAGTGGGTTCTAGATGCCATGTGTTGCACATAAAATCTCTCCAGTCCACAGTAGTGTAAGTGATGCTGTCCTCTCTGTCTTTGTCAGAGGAGTTGTCATCATGTATAATAATTGGACTTTTCTGTCCTGGTCGAGTAGATAAAACCCGAGGTGGAAAAATGGCTATAATGAAAATGATAGATTAATATTACAAATATATATCTTATAAATTTATTTTAAATCATCATATGAACAGTATAATAGGCTCCATTTATCATTTTACTTATGAACTGGCCAAAGTCTCATTTAATTCCCTTTCTGAAAAACTAGTATTTTAAAATAAGCCATAAATAACTGCCAGTTACTGGTATTTCTTAGAGAAAGACAATGTCAAAGTTAACATGTCATTTTTTTTTGAGGAATAGCATATATTTTACAGCATTCGTGTGGTTAAAACTAATGGTAAAGAATGCCGAGATTTGATAGCAAGCATAGGGCAATGAAATTGAGGTTTCCTGAAGAATGGCTGCAGGTGGACATTTTTTAACAGCCTGAACATTAACATGTTTAAGCTGTTAAAGCTGACAGCTGAACAGTAACATCCTAAAACTATGGAGTGGTACACTTTAAATGAGTGAACTGTAAAGTGTACCACTCCATAGTTTTAGGATGTTAATGTCCCTCTATATATTTGAACACTGGTACTAACTTAGGAGCTTTTTATGTAAGCAGTCTTTCACTTTTTATAGTGAATACTCAAATGTTTTATGAAGGACAAATTCTTTTTAAATTGGTGATCATAATATATATAAAATTAAAATAAAATCTGAGACAAAGGTAGTTTTCATTTGGCAAACTTTAGTATATATAGCATTTCTCTTAGAGCATAGGTTTTCAAGACACAAATTGGGCATAAAATAACTAATAAATTAGGTAATATGATAGTCATTATGTAACTCTGGTTTTAACTTTTTTGTGAATTAGCAGTAGGGATAACATGTTGATTGCGAATGAGCCTAGGAATAAAACTGTCCTTAGGTTCACACTACATAAGAATATAAATGCCTTCAGTTACTGCCTCCTCACAGTCGCTCTGCTTTTATTACTGGCAGTCGTTACAGTGCTATAATTTATCTTGATGTTCTAGAAGTATGTTGATTCTGGTCTAGTCTTACATGCTGTTAAAGATTATTCTCAGGCAAGTTTATGCTTATTTTGGTCAAAACTAATTGCTTTTAGTTCTTAATTACAAAATATAGCTATTTTAAATATTTTTATTTATAATTGAAATCCCCAAAAATAATACCACTTGGTATTGTAAGTCTGATAATCAAGTCCCCATTTCCTTTTTCCCATTGAAAGAATGTTACATAAGTTTGCTTTTCTACTTTTAAAGATAATTTATATATATTAAATTAATTTCAGGTGTAAAACACAGTGATTTAGCAATTATATACATTTTGAAATGCTTGCCACGAGAAGTGTATTACAATATTACTGACTATATTCCTTATGCTGTACTTTTCATCCCATGACTTATCTTATAACTGGAAGTTTGTAGTTCTTAATCCCCTTTATCCATTTCACCTATCTTCCCACTCCTCTCCCCTTTGGCAATCACCAGTTTGTTCTCATTGAGTCTGTTTCTCTCTTTTTTGTTGTTGTGCAACAGTTTGTATTTAAAAAGAAAGTTTTGTTTTGTTTTTTAATATGCACAGTTCATGGCAGACCAAGACCAACACAGTATTTCATAAAATGACAAAGACTTCACATAATAACTGCAAGAAAGAAATCTGGCAGGCTTTTATATAGACATACCTATAGTTACCTAGAAAAGAATTCTGAACTTCACAGGTTTACTTAGAGTCTGTTATTTTTACACATTAAGTTTAAATATTAAGGCAGAGAGAAAAACAAGAGGATTACCAGGGACTGGTATATGTTGGTGCTGTAAGTCAAGACTGGATCTACTTATATATAATATTTCCTATTACATGGTTTTAGTCATTTAAGTTTCAACTAATGTCTCATAGATTTCTTCCAGTCATCATTACTGATTTTACTCTTACTGGACTTTTGGCACATCTAAACTGAATAGTAATGGAGCAGCAATTCAATCTATGCTACGCTACTTTTGCATTGTTTTTTGATATCTAAAACTTCACTTAAACATTCATCATGAGGCCATCTTGAAATACCTGCTAGCCAAATTTTGTATTTTTGCTCATTAGGAAAATGAAGTATTATAGGGCGACCTAAACAAATAGCATGTATTCCAAGCAATTAAAAAAAATCACACCTGTCATTTTACTACTATATATTTATATATTTGTGCAATAAATAATTACTGGGTAAATAAAGACCATATATTTGGACACCATTCCATATCATTATATTTCCGACTACCTCATCTTTTAAACAGCTACAGAGTATTCCATTCCATTATATGGGCACCATAATATATTCAACCAGTTCCTTTTTTTTTTTTTTTTAAGATTTTATTTATTTATTTGACAGAGAGAGACACAGCAAGAGAGGGAACACAAGCAGGGGGAGTGAGAGAGGGAGAAGC